TATATATATATACAGTAAAACTTTATTTGATAATAAAATTATATTGAAGCTATAATTTATGAATTTGTTTCAAGTAATCCCTATACGATATGATTTTTTTCAGAAATATTTCAATAGTAATTGGTCAGTTATCCAAAACTAATGATATTTCGGAAGATCTGCAAGCAATGTTATCTCGAGTTTGGTTAGTAAATATCAACTTTCTTTAGTTTCATTACAAGATTTTATTAATTTATTTTTGCTTTTCTGTAACAATTTTGTTTGTCCACCGAAGTGAAAGTAAAATCAAGAATTACAACTTTATATCTAAAAATTAAAATATATCCATTGATAAATCTGTTTATTTTAGTATAACAACTGCATAATGGTATCAGTAGAATTTAATCTTGAAAATTACTAGTCCAAGATAACGAAAACACTTCAGCCCACTTGACCTGATATCGGGTCCAGATATATTTTAATCAAGTTGAGAATAAAAACTTCGATAATGCTGTCAAAAGCAATGATTAGAACATTTTCCCAGAATGTTATCGGTGGTTTCAAAAGGTTAAATAGGTCATATTTTATAGTTGTTGTAACTTGGAATTGATTGATGGTGACCTTCGCAACTGTGATTTATTGTGGGAAAAACCGCAACAATTGTATAAAGATGCATCATGTATTTTCATCAGAAACGTATTTCTTTCAAATTATGCGTAATACATTAGCATGTACTACCATTTCAACTAATGACAGTATGTTAAACAGAAAATTCACTGTTTAGTTTATGGATTTTAAATATTCCTTATTTACAACATTGACTATTCTATAGAAACATAAACCCTGAATTACGAATTCAGCTTGAGAACGAAACTCGTCGGCGGTCGATGTCGAAGCCTGGCTTTGCAAGTAACCGCCTTGAGGAGCCTCGTTCTTTTTTGATATTGGAGAATTCATTTCTGTGTCGATCCCTCAGATGTCGTGCTCATAAGGGGCGAAGCCATCGCCCTTACTTGTTCTTTAAGGACAGTTTAGTCCAACGATGTATTTGTGATTCAGCCTTACATTACTGATTAGACCTATGGTGGGTCGAAACAGCGGTGACCGTTGTTGAATCATAAATGCAATGTGTTTGGGCTCTGATTTTTAGCTAGTTGCCTTGCAGTGAAAGCTGCAGTGAAATACAGTGGATGAATCTCGTCGGCGGTCGACGTCGAAGCTCGCCTTCTTGACTTACCGCCTTAGGAGGAAGCCTCGTTAATTTCGAAGATTTACTTCTCTGCCGATCCTTCAGATGGCGTCTTCGTAAGGGAATAAGCCATCACTCTTATTTACAGGAGACATTCATTTCAAGTTTAGGTACTTATTTTTCCTGTGACTTATTTCTGAAATTACATTTTGCTTGTATGTCTCATAGGATATGATATTTGTCCTTCTTTGACAAAAATCAGCCGAAAGGGTAAGGGAGATGGGCTCCATCCCGATTGAACTGAAGACGTTGGTCAGTAGAATATGATAATAATAATAATAATAACACATTTATTTGTGGCTTCAAAACAAAATTACAGCACATCCTTCGCTAATAATAATAGCATAAACTTTAAATGAGATTGAAAATAACATGCACCTGGGAGGACCTATTGATCGTTTCAGCCTGAGAAGAGAATGTGCAACATGTAAAAGAAAAACAATCAAAGAAAAAAAATATTGAAAAAATGCACATTTAAATTGATGGAAGTACTTGAGTCAAGTGTGTGGCTTATAATCTTGATCGACGTCGGCTGACTGAGAATAGATAACATTAGTTGGTTACTGACTGAGAAAATAAATACTCTTTGAAGGTACTTTCAAATGAAGAGATTGATATCGACTTGAAGAAACTAGGTACCTTACAGGTATATACATTATTATACCATTACTGTTTTTTTTTTCAGATAGCTTCATCACCAAACTTGAATCCATCAGTACATATCTAGATTATGGCCGAGTTTCAATACTGGGATACATGTCAGGACATTACATATATATTCCAATATATTCCATCTTGTATTTTTCCCTTATATTATGAAACTTCTTATTGTCAGCCAAGATTTGTATTGACATCTTATGTTTGAGCAATCTAAATGGAAAGACGAAACAAGTGTGCAATATCAGGTCGGTTAGACAATCTCGAACCCCGGCAAGAATAACTTTACAACTGAAGGAAATTGGTTTTCAATTTCCCATAAAAACTAATCTCTCTTGAAATATCCTCCTTTCAATGCGAAAACATCCACTGATTTTACATTATAGTGGAAATGAAGTTCTCTCACACTGAGCAAGGGCAATGACATCCTCCTTACGAAGACATCTATGAGAGCGACAGAGAACAATCCTCGAATATCAACGCATTTGCGATCCAATACCAGAGATCGCTGTTTTGATACGTCATAGGTCTCATCAGCGGTGCTAGGCTGAACCACAAATTTATTGCTGGACTCAACTGTTCTAAAAGAACAAGTCTAAGAAAGTGGGAGCGATGACATATCTCTCTCTTCTCTCCATCTGTGGGATCGACAGAGAACTCAATCCTCGAATATCAAAGATGAACGAGACTCCCTAAAGTTCTCAATAATTGCAAAGCCAAGATTCGACATCGACTGCCGACGAGATTCGTCCTCTGTTTTCCACTACAGCTTTCACTGCAATTAATTTGTGATCCAACATCAGATAGCGCTGTTTCGATCCGCCATAGGTTTCATCAGTGATGCATGGCTGGACCACGAATGCAATTAGGGGTTTGCAAGTGGGAGATAACGGTATCCGAGTGTTACCAAGTATTTATTATTAAACGTACAAAGTCTCGCCTTTTTTCTTGAAATTATATGTCATAATTTTTTTCTTCTCTTTCTGTACTACTTAAAAATATTAATTTTCACTTACAACCCACAACACAGAGGAAGTGTTTGTAACTTTAGTTATTTTATCTGAAAAAAATCGGAGTTGGAACTATACAAATATAAAATTTACATGGTTATGAACTACCTTTTGCAAACGAGAGGAATTACTCATTATAATAAAAAAAATATACGAAAAGTTATAATCACTTACCTAATCTTGCCGCCAGTCTCTGCATAAGGAGCCCTAACAGCGTGGCGCTGAGAAGTATCCATAATAGCTTATAGCTTGCTACCGTTCCACTTTGTAAATCACTTTCTATATTTCCAGGGTCTAAGTAAGCTATGGACATCAGAAAACCAGGACCCGTGAAAGCCCATAGTTTTCTGAAACTGAAGCCAGACTGAAAAAAAAAGTTTTAAAATAAATAACCGCAACTCACTCAAAGTACATTGTTATCTATGTAAAAACACTCTATATAATTATAATATTTCTATTCCTAGTAACAGCTCAGGGGTATCAATGATTAAAATGTAATTTCAAAGATAACGTTTCTTGATAACTAACGTTAACCATTTTACTTTTCTTAATTGTTACTTTTTTTGCTTTTTGATTTGACAACTATGATCATTATCATTAGCCTCGTGTTCTGGGTAGCTCAGATAATAACTTCCCGTGTCACCTAGAGAGCATAATCCCGTTAGCAATGTAACGAAGATTCAGTAAATTTTCAACAAGGGATATTCTCGCGAGTAAATATATGGTCAAAGGCGGGTTCGAACTTGCGACATTTGATTCGTGAATCGTCACGGCTAACTTATTCCAGATACAAAATTGTGAAATTAGCAAACTAGTGAAATAAAACAAAAAATGAATTCACCATTTTTTTTGACTTTTTGAGTGAAGTGCTTTTTGTAATGGAATTTTTTTTGTAAAGTGAAAAATGAAGAAGTTATGAGAGTTGATGTTTATAACGAAACAATTATCAGTTGTATTTCCACTAAATACCTAGATAAATCACAAGTGGGACTGACAGTCATTAAGTGCTTTTGGTTTTCATCTGCCCTTCTGCTTAATAAGAAATTAGCAAATCCATAAAGTGTTGTTAAGTGAGCCAGTGTGATTACCAGGTTCCAGAAAATTGCTCACACTCAGTTTTCTCCAGAATCGAAAATAGCACTAAGAAAGTTAATTATATTCATGTCGCTTGAATTGCAAAGTCTGCTTCTCAAAAGCTTGGAACACTGTTCCGAATCAGAAAACTATACACAGCTCAGCAACTTTTGATGCTTTATAAACCTCAGATCAGACCTTTTTTGGAGTATTGTTCTCAGGAATAGAGATTTGCCCCCAAACATACACTGAAGTTGCTGGATTCCATCCAGAAAAGAGCCATTTACCTGATTGGGGACGATAACATCACGTGCAACCTTGATAGCCCGGAACATCGAAGAAAGGTTGGAGATTGTCTCTCTTCTATACATACTTTCACGGGAGGTGTCCAAATGACTTGGCACATTTGATTCCACCAACAACGGTACATATCAGAAATACGCGACGGACTGTGGGCTGCTCATCGTTTTGAGGTTCAACTCAGTACACCTTGAACTTCATTGTTCAAGAATTCTTTCATCTAGAGTATTGCGTTTATGTGGAATGAACTTCTTGAGAACGTTTTTCCAAATGGATTAAGATCCAGCGATTCTAATCTAATGTGAATTGCTACTTTCGCATAGGCAACGTTCTGAGAGGGCCTTAAAGATTTTCCTGTAGTGCTTGAGTTTTGTCCTTAAACAAAAAAAAAGAAAAACAATTCGCGAATGTACGAATGTTTGTAGTGAACACGATTATTTTACTTTATGTAAACGAAATTGGAAAAGGAAATATTCTGTGAATGTTGTTTCAATAATATGAATGATAATGTCAAAGATCAGAGATTATTCGGGAAGTTACAGATAACACTAATGACATTCCTGAGCAATTCCAATATATCTATAAAATTTTGTTGACAAGTGAGCCGATAAAGTACAAGGATAAAAAATTATGACTATTGAAAGAAGTTTTCGAAATTTTGATGTTGGGTATATTAATAATATTTTTTTGTGATGCCAATATTTTCTTAGAAATTCTCCTATTTTAAAAAAGCCTCATAGTTCTTATTGTTGTCAAGTACAGGATTTTGTTATCATTCTATACCACATTCATTTATAATAATGAAATGATTCTATGGTCCTCAGAAGAAAAACAAACCAAATCTCCTTATTTTCGCTCCAGTCTAATCTATACAATGCATTTTGAGATCAATATTACATACAATATATGTCTATCTGATTCTCATTTTGAAAAGAAAACAAAACAAATTTACAAATTCTCTCTATAATAAACTGAATTAAAATATCAGTCGTGAACGAATGTTTACATTAGGTATTGTTGAACATATCTTTAGAAAATTTCCCAACATTTATTTGTATGCTTTGTAGACTGAAAAATAGTAGTTGTTAGTTCATATTGAAATTTCCCAACAAACCTAGAAGTCATGTGGACGCCAAATTTCGACAAAAAATCACTAGGAACTATTTTCTGAATGTCTGGTACAAGACAAACGTCAGGTCTCAATAGAAATTTGGATAAGTATATTATTTGGCCACTAGCCTTCGTGAAGAAATTAACAGTGAAGATAATTCAGGAGATATTCAATGTTAATGACAATAAATTAGATGAAAAGTTCACGCAAGCAACTCAAAGAAGACAAGCCAAGATCAAAGATGAACGAGACTCCCTAAAGTTCTCAATGCGTTTTCGGACCTTTCCTTAAACTTTCTAGGCAAAAATACGAATCGAATGACATCTTGGTCGTAATTTTTGGACAGGGCTGAAAAATGTCACCAGAAAGAACTAAATCGAGTACATGTGAACCAGACTATAGGATCAAAATCTCACCGACTTTGGTTCATTTGAAAAGCCGAGGAAAAAACACGGAGACAGAATGGACCAGATAAACATGTACCCGGGGAAATCTACACGTCAAATTTTAAAATGTTACAAAACACACATATATCAAAGGCGATTAGAATTTTGTAATTGGCTAATAAGAAGACATGATTTTCCTGTTTTACTGGAAAATGTAGCTTGGACAGGTAAAACCACTTTTACGAATTGTGGGATATTCAACCGAAATAACTCAATGTAGCGCCCATAAGAAAAAAAAATGATGATGGTGGTCGGAAGACAAAACGTCAGATAGGAAATCTGAAAAGACCATTATGTAGCAGGAAAAAAGTGTCAATGTGGAAGTGCAATTTATTTTCGAATCCTTCGAAAAATAAAGCCAGAAAAAAATAAAAATCATATTCCGAAATATCTGTTTTTTCCGGATATCTCCGGGTATACTCCGAATTTCAAAACTTTCTCAAAGGTATATTGTTGGGCACGTGGAAGCGCAACTTTGCCCCAATTTAACTTCAATCTCTCATAGTTTCCGAGATCCCAATGGCGAGGATCGAATTTGAAACACCCTGTATACTACCAATGAATGTTAACATATCACATAACCTCAAAAAGATTTTGTATACCTACTTTAATGGAAAAGCCGAAAAATGGCCGCCGTTCTCTTTCTAGTTCAGTATTCTTTAGAAGAATCGACAGAAATGTCTGGATGGAGATGCAAATTCACAATTTCGGGAATGAAAATATCTCTTCAGAATTGAAGACAACCAAATCAAAGTCGTGATTTATGAAAAAGCAGAGCTGTCACATCAGTTCGATAATACGACATGGAAATATTTTTTTTTCCAATTACATTTTATGTTTTTACAATAAAATCATTAAAATATAATGTGAATTTATTATAAACAAAAACTTCTTACTCCGTAATACAAGATTCTTCAAGTTTATTTATTCATTTTCATTTTGTAATATGTAATACAAATTTCCAGACTCATCAAAATTATTTTATAAGTGTTACAGGCGTTTGTGAATTTTTTGACATAGAAAATATAAAAAAAAAAACAGTTTTCTCAAAATTGTTACAAGCTGAATAACAGGGCCTGATTCAGCTATTTAGCCACCCCAGGCGGATATAATATTCGCCGCCTTTTATAACAACACAATAGTAAGGGGACATTTATTTGCAATATTCCCAACCAGATGGATTGGAAACAATGGATCCATTGCTTTTAGGTTTTTTGTCTGGCGATACATGAAGGATAAAGGTTTTTCGACACTTAGTACAGATATCGACCATAGAAAACATAGGAGATACATGTAATAGCATTATACTCACCATGCTACAAAGAATAAATATATGAACAACTTATGTGCATTCAACAGAGAGGTCGTCAATTCGAACATTCAATATGGTTTGTCACGTGGTATTCATTTCTGTATTGATTTTTGTTTCATCAAAAATTCATTATAAAATAAATTGTTTTTCTGTTTGATTGTTGTCACTGATTTGTGTAATTGATGACTTGTTTATTTTGTGGAGATTCATGATCACTTTAATGAAATGAATGAAAAACACTTTTGTCTAATTTCCACTAGGAAATAATGATTATATTCGTAAAAAAGCATTTTTAAGTTTCCCCTGTATAACTCGAGAAAGGCGAAAGCTCCTTTAAATATTCTTCGACAATTCTGTGACCCTATACGAACGACAACTCTCAGAAGTTGAGAAACTTGTGCGAGCTAAGGACTAACGAGGTTTTACCTTTTAACGTGTGATTCCTAACACGTTAAATAGTGGAAGTAAATTAAGCGTTAGTTGCTACGTGTTGAATATAAATTAGTTTGTGATAGTGAAATATTGTCAGAAATAAATTTGTTTAAAAGAGTTAATTCTTTAATTTGTTACAATGGTATATGAAAGAGGTATATGGAACACTGTCATCCTCAATAGCGGACATCCGATGTTTCGGAATAAGGCACTGGCCTCATTGTCTCTTCAGTATCAATCTGGATAACATTATAAAATGAGTAGATTTATTTCATTCGTGACATCCTAACGTGTTAGGAATCACACGTTAAAATGTAAGACCTCGTTAATCCTTGGCTCGCACAAGTTTTGATTCTGAGTGTGGTCGTTCGTAGGGAACCGACAGCTGGTTAACAGAAAACAGAACAGATTGCTATTCAGATTGTTGCTGTAGGGGCAATAAGGTAAGTGTCTTATCCCAATACTTCGGTGTTCCATGTAAGTGAAATTTGACCTCTTTCATATTTGGAGTTGTGTAGAGTTGAAGATGATTTCAGAATTTATACGGATTTTTGTGTGTTTCTGTCGGTTGAGAAATAGTGGTTGTCAAGTTTCATTAATAAAAAACCCAAGAGGAGTCACAGTCCATATTCAATTTTTTGTATTCTGCAATTTTTTTAACAAATACATTTTCTATTATGGAGAAATACCTAATTATATTTTACTCATAAGTTGAAACAATAAAAATTAACTTAATTTTCTTCAACACTATTTAAAGTTTGAAATATTCGATTATTTATTATCGTAAGGACACGCAGGTTCAAGTTAGTAGCAGAATAACAAATCTCAAACTATTATGTTTAATGTGGTTGATGTTTAGGGGTTAATTACAACCTTATACCTTTTTCACAAAATAATGAATACTTACATGTGGAACTTCAGGAATGATTATTTTTCGATCAGCGAAATAAGTTTGATTTGAAGATAATCCTGTATTCTCATTCGGTGAAGATCCAAGAGAAGACGATTTTATATCCAGAGCACTTCCGTTTGTACTGTTGCGATCTCCATCACCGCTTTCTGTTGCCGATGTTTGAGAACTGGTTGTAAATGATTTCTTGGCCATCTTGAACAATACAAAATAACATTGTTAGCCTTTACTTTCGGGTTGATGATAAAATGATATATGGCTTAGAAACTTCCCATTGTGAATAAGTAACAGGTACACATGTAAAAAGGGGAATCACTTTTATTGGACTTTATACTCTCATCACGTACAACAATTAATGAACGCAGTGCATGTTGATGTTATTCTATATGAAAGGCATAAAACGGAGGAACCACATTAACTGTCCCAAAAATCACGCACTAGATCACATTTCCTGGATAATAATATAAGAAAATTCATTAAATATGCTCAAAATTCCGTAAATTTGTNCTGGTTGTATTATTCTACTGTGGTGAAGTTACAAAAGCAACCAATGAAGAAGAATCAAGAAGATTTGCTATTAGAAACACAAAATTGGAGTCAGTAGAACCTGCAGTATCGCGGCAGATATACAATGAAGTAATAATTAATTGAAAGAATTTTGGCTGATAACTTGGACATGCCTGTTCTGGTATATATGAGGAAATTACATATGATTAAATTCAAAAAAGTATTAAAGGGCGGCTGGTTGATCTCTGCCCTTATGTTATGAATATTTTAACTACAATTTTAATGCTTTGCCTTTTTAATGTGTATGTATTAATGTGTATGTTTTGTATTATATTTATCTACCTTGACGATGCTAAATGTGTTATACAGATAATAAGCAAATAAATTGATTGACTGATGGATTGATTGATATAGTTGCAGAAGTTAATAATCGGACATAGCACTCGAGAAAGAGGCAAACCATAGACACATAAACCATAGGCTTTTGGCCCATCATCAGTATGGTGCAGCCAAGTGTAAGGATGGGAAACACTTGGTTACAAATGCACGAAGTCACCAGAAGGAGCCAGCCGCACATTTGTGGTTTCGGTTAATAGATCTTGTGGACAACTTTATTTTTTTAAATAGAACACTCCATACATTAACATATTTTTGAATTCGCTCTTTAGTTATACTCTTTTTTTGTTAATAATGTCCTATACCTATCTCTATCGATTTTCGAGATAAAAATAATTAGTATTAAATATGGTCCAAAACATAGCCCTAATTGAACTTAAGTACATCAGTACTCTCAATTGATGAAAAGTGCGACTTCTAGCAAAAATCAATTGGTACGCTCCAAATACAAGGATTGGAATTAGATCAAATCACATCACTCGTTTAAAGAGACTCGAACCAAAGATTATTCTAATCTTCGCAATCGGCAGGGATCGAACCTGTGGGGTGGATCTCATTAATCAATTAACTACCGTTTGAGAAAAGGTCCGCATTTTCATTTTGATTCGACCAACTTATTCGATTATAATAATAATATATAATTTTGGTGCAATTCCTAATCAGCATTCATCAAGCTATCAAATAACGTTTCCGGACGCAGAATCTGAGAATTGCAGTTCACTTTTGTTAAATTACATACATTTTGTGAAAATTAATAATTGAGAAATGAATTTTATTCAAGTTACTCAAGGTAAACTAATGTAAAATTCACACTGGAGAGAATTATTCTCGTTAGACATTCATTTTCAAATATGGTGTGTTGGTATTGATGATCTCACCACAGTAGCAGAAACAACAGGTCACCTCTAGTTCGCAGCAAAACTGAAGGCAAACCGAGAATTTTATATCAGGTAATTTTTGAAGTAAAACTTCTTTACGCGCGCTTGACTTAGGGTAAGCTAATAAATGCGTGACGAGAGCGTTACGAAAAATGTGATCGGCCGAGGCAAATGGAAGTTAAGAAGGAGTTATAAGTTAGTGAAGATAGAAATAGAGAGAGAGAGTCACGTTTCTTATATTACTGTAGGGAGAAGAGAGATAGAAAGGTGCGAACACAAATTTACACTTGAGTAGGTTCTGAAGAATTGAAAACTATCATACGTTGCCACTAATTTTAGCAGGAGATTTCAATGTTGATTTTGCGTTCGAAGATGGACAACTCTTGGTAAAATTTCTACAAGATAAATTAATAATACAAATGAATAATAACTGAAATGAGCTCACCACAAGACACTTTTCTCTAGATATCTTTCTAATTTTCATTCTTATTTCTCATACATCTTAGAATCAACCACAGTAATTATAATAAATATAATAAATAAATATGAAAAATTCATTCAAAAATGTTAATTTATCAATGAAAACCCATAATAAATTCAAATATTTGTAAAAAATTAATATATGTATATACATGTGTATATCATACACAATAAAACACATCACTGTGAAACAAAATTTCATTTTTCGGGATGGGGTAGAGTGTTCTTCGGCCACCATCTAGAAAACACGGATGTGATTATTTTTCGAGTTTATTTAGTGAACTGTAATGAGTATGGAAAGAGCTTTCTACAATTTTTTTAAAATCTTCTGTTGGTTTTTTGAAGCGCTCTTAGAGCGGTGCCTGTGCGAAAGTAGTGATTCACTTTGGATTTGAACATTACTTTCAGTGATGTAATGTAGTGCGCCAGTTCTTGAATTGTCTCCTTATAGGAGCTATCGATAGTTTTCAAAACCGTGCTATTCAACTAGCACACCAAGGTCGTTTAGACAAGACAAAACAATTTTAATCAGGGGTAAAGTTTGGTTTTCTTTGATGGAAAAAATAGTTGAGGCAGAAATATCAAGATGGTATGAATGCTACTAGCAACAAATGAATATTATAGAAATAGTTCTAGCTGCCAAAGATCTGCCAAATTACATTTGGAAAAGGCCCGTTTCCGGATGGAAAGTATTTAATGATATTATTAGACCAATTTAGTCGATTCTCGAGTGTCGAAGTATTGAACAATAATATTTTATCTGAACCAATGAACACAGAGTCAATGGACCACCATTCAATGGACATGATTTTGATAATTTTTCAGTTAAATTGGGTTTCAAACATCAGAAAGTAACACCGTATTGGACAGAAGCGAATGGATTAGTGGAAAAAACGTAATAATTTTATGTTCAAAATTTGAAAAACAAAACTACAGAGTTGATACCAACATATTTCTCTTAAATTATCATTCAACACCTCATTCAACAAATACGTAAAACTCCTTTTTATACAATGTTTAACAGAGAAGTATTAAAAAACTCTCCCCTCTTTTCCGGAAAAACATAAGCTATGCGATGAAATTAACAAAAGGAATTCAAGAAATAAGTTAAAACGAAAGGTCTACGCTGATAAGGGAAGAAATAACAAATATTATGAATTTCAGGTGGGAATAGAAGTTTTCTCTAGACAAAAAAAGTTAAATAAATTCATACCATCATTTGACCCCAATCCTTATACAATTACTGGAATATATCGGAATCAGATAATAGCCAGGTGTCATAAAAATTTCTTCATTTTCAAAAAATTTCATTTGACCACGAACTGACAGAAAATATGAAAGAAAATCTTTCGTATTTATCACAAGGAATATGCAATGAAAGAAACGTAATTTTCATCAGAAATTATGTGAGGCTTATGTAGGAAAAGGGACTATAATAAAATAAATTGAAGACGAAAATGAAACAGAATTGGTTCACCTAAAAATATGATAGTGAAGTCATAGTAAAAATCAACCAGTAAGTTCACTCCCACTACTTTCATTCATAAATTCACAAAGTTCTCGGTGACCTCGAAACGAAGTGTGGAGCCAATTTCGTTTTTTTACCATAGGCGTGCGCTCATATAAAAACGAAATTTAAGGTTATTATAGAATATTTTGTGGTAAATTACTTATAACCAACTACAAAAATTAAAAACAATAACAACAGCGAATAAACTAAACAACATATACATTTCCAACCTTTTATTACAAATAATCCGATGTGTGTGGGACCGTCAAATTCATCAATAGTATAGCACTGAACGCGTTGGATGAGAATCTCATTCTAAGAGCGGTTGAAGGTCCCCGGTAACTCGGGCGGATCACGTGGTAAGAGAGCCTACTGGTTGTATTATTCTACTGTGGTGAAGTTACAAAAGCAACCAATGAAGAAGAATCAAGAAGATTTGCTATTAGAAACACATAAAATTGGTGTCAGTAGAACCTGCAGCGGGTCAGATCGTTAGTATCATATATTTGTGATGTCACAAATATATGTTTTATTTTATTGTATTTTATACAATGGGTTCAAAAAACAAGATGAAGTAACTGAACTAGTCTCAAAAAGATATACAATGAAGTGATAATTAATTGAAAGAATTTTGGCTGATAACTTGGACATGCCTGTTCTGGTATATCTAAGTTGCATAATTTTTCTACTAGTGAAGTAAGTAATTTCAACTATGAATGAAGTGTGGAAAAATTAGAACATGTAGCAAAACCCAAATTTATAGTATTTTTAAGAGGTTGAATTTCAAAAAAAAGAAATAAAATTTTCTTTGAAATCTAAGTAGCCTATAATCATTTCTAACTCTTAAACGGTATGAGAATATTTCGCATGAATACGTAGTGAGATTACCCCTTGTTCCCAAAAATAGCTTGAATGAATGTGAATAGTATAAGTACAAGAAGGTATAAGTTGATGAAGTTAGATTACTAAATTGTAAAAAAAATCTCAAGTCAAAGTCCTTCATTATCCCAACTCACATTAATGTATCATCCGATGCTTGTCGAGGCACTGATTATGCAATTGAAGAACTTTCAAAACATTTTAAACGAATATAAGTGGCATAGTAGCCTACTTTATGGGAAAGTTCATTTAAACAAATTCACAAACTTCTTCACCTTTTCTCATTCTTCTTATACTTGAGTTCAATATATTTCTGCGATAAGAAAACAAATAATCAAATACTATGGTTCGAGTAGCACGTATCGATAACGTTCAGATAAAACGATTTACCAGGGTTGCAAGCTGGAACAGTGGAACAAAAGTTAAGATTTTTAAATGACATGGCACTTGGCTTAATGACAAAAATAGTCATTTTTGATAAGAGACCTTTGATGGTATATAAATGTAATTTTTCGTGATTATAGAGTTCTTAATCGAAAATCGAT